AAGCGTTACGCGTACCAAATACTGGAATTTATACTATCCTGGTACACTAAATCGCGCGCCTCATGGCATCTAGTGGCGCTTCAGGAGCATTACTCAATAACCATACCTAACTACGCTAAAAGTTTTATCATTGTGACTTAGGAATATATTCCAAAGCTCCGTACAACCCCTTGGGGAAAATATAAGATAATAGAGATAGAGTTTTATAATGTATAAAAATCTATCTCTAGTTTTACCTAAAGTTTTTGAAGTTAAATTTTTATACCAGCGTAAAATAGCAGTTTATCACTGCTGTGTTTCGTATGGTAAGTGTAGATATGGCATATGGCTTCATGACTGATACTGTCGAACCATATACAGAGGTTTGTTGTACTCCTTGTTGTACAACTTAGTTTACGCTGTTTATATTTTGACATCAGTCCTGCTTCTTGTATTAATTGTGCACATTATAATGACCTGAACTCGGATTACTCCAGGAATCAATTTCTTCTCTATCCTTAGTGTATTTCAATTAGTGAGCTTCCTAAAAGAAATAAAATACATTTTGAAACACCGCCTAAGTTAAAAAAGAAAGTTAGTAAACATTGCTAAGGTAAATGAAGATTTTTTTATTATTTCTTTCTATATTAATACGCGTAAATCAATAAACGTAACTTTCTTAGATTAATGATAAGTCATCGCGCGCTCTGACTAGATACCGCGCTCCCTGCAAGTAACAGCTCCGTGAATGCGGCATCTTAATATTGTAGTGTGTATAAGACAATTTGCAAGATGCAAGCAGCTTAACTATTACCCGATTAACGGGAAAATTTATTTTATGCTATGGCTTATTAGTTAAGTTCATAGTTATGAATGTATTCCAGAAATACTTAAAAATGAATAGTTTATTAATAACGAATGTTTCAATATATTTGTGTATATTATGTATAGGTTTTTCTTCTGAATAAATGACATATAAATGTTATGATAAATATATTATAATTAATAAATAAAAAAATAATAAAAAAATTAAACGGATAAGGCTTTATTTTTATAGGATCAGGGTGACAAACGGGCACTCAGTCCACCTGACGGTAAGTGGTTGCTGTGGCCCATAGACATATACATCTAACCTCGGTTAAGAATCAAAATGCAGATGCGTTGCAACCCCTGAGGACTAAGATGGAATGCCTCGTTTCCAGTAAAAATGGTCTCCAGTTCTCTACAATCACCATAGGAAACACAGCATCGTTAAGCTCCTATCTTACACTGGTATTCTGTGAGAGCGTGGTCCTTCCCCGGTCGAGCTGACCCATTCGTGCTACAACTATACCAGTAATATAGCTGCAGTATGGGTCTATCACGTATAAATTGAAAATTTCGAGGATGATCCCATAATAAAAATATTCATGTTGACGGACAGAATCATTACCATAGTTATTAAGTACTATTTTGTTACACCTTTAGTTAGTATATAAGACCGGGGAAAAAGTTTCTTCGTATATAGTATACAAATTCAAGACGTTTTTGTTTTAAAGTTTTATTACATTTAATTATAATATATATGGGTCCATTCTGTTCGATAATTTGTTACCATCTTGTAGGTAGTGACATAATAGAAAATAAACGTTGCTGTAGAAATCTTGGGATTTTGATTAAAAAAATGCGACAAGTAGTTTTATTTGATATATTCAATACCAGAGATTTGAAGGAACATGGAATAGAACACAAGCAACAAAAGAAAATAATGACTAAAACTTTTAAACCAGTTTTAAGTACTCAATCAAATACTGAATTTTTAGGAATGTTAGTGTGTAATGAAAGTCTCAAACAGATAACTAATCTTGTGATTTGGCGTTATCATGATGAAAGACCACTCCTTTTCTGATTATCAATGCCAGCCGTTTTTTATTTCTATTTCTTGCTTGTCTCATTATTTATTGGTAGTAGAGATCCGAATCGATGGTTTTACCCGGCGGTAAAAGCTCGTGATAAACTTTCAATACCACCATAGACGCCCATTACACGCCTAGGCAAGCGTCAATCAGTTCGATCAATCATGATTGACGTTTGAATGATAGAATAATTTCGACATTACACGCTCATGCTGCCTGATGTCAGTCAAACCCAAATTTTCGAAAGGAAAGCACCTACCTATAAACTAATTTCATTTTCGATTCACCATTTAACTGTAATTTAATATCTTGAAAAGTAAAAGAAAAAAAAAACGAATAGGAAAATTTCTAATATTTAATAAACCATGCATGTCATGTCACAAGCATGGAATATGTATTAAGATAGACGACAACAATTATTTTATTTTAATATTTTACTTCTTACCTTTAAGCAGTTCCATTTTTCTTTTAAAACTAAACAATTAATTAAAACAAAATTGTAATAAAAATTATGTATTTATAGTACATCGATTTCTTATAATGTAATCATCCAAGTTTTTGAATCTTCATCATCATTTCAGCCCATCACAAGTCCACTACAGAACATCATCCTCCATAGACTGCTGCAAAGCATGGACCTGAACCCCTTTCCTTGTTATGACTTTTTCATTTATGTTCTTAAGTTATAGTAAAATTAGTATTACTAAGTTGTAGTTAATTACATTTATTGTTTGTTTGATTTTTTTTTCAAAAATAATTAAATATTGTATGGTGTTCTTAACATATATATATATATATATATATATATATATATATATATATATATATATATATATATATATATATATATATATATGAGCTTTTAAATCAAAAACTAATTTTAAAATATAGACGACTTGATCATAACTTCCTTAACTATAAAATAAGTTATGTTCTAATTAATGGTATTTGTTCCAGTTTATGACAGCCCTGATTTATATTACGTGGCTGAAATTAGGTAGATACTTCTTATTATGCACGTCAAACCAAATGTAACCAAATACGTCAAACAGCCGGGCAGCTGACATTAAGTACGCCATACATTTCGTATATCTAATTACCGCCCCATTAATTTCCACTAAAATAAAATAAAAAACTTATAGGTTTAAGCAAAAATAGCTGCATTACTATGTCGACAGTCAAATTCATACAAATCAAAAAGCCTAAAGATTAGCTAATGTAAAATATGCTTAATTATATCGGAACTTGTCAAAAAATTAGGAAAATGAGCGTTTTTCGTTGCGTACGTGTTTTGATTTTTAAATTAACATTGTTAGGTTTAAAACTGTGAGGTAATACCTGAAATATACTTTCCCCTAGTTACGAAGAATTTATTAGCCGACAATATTTGTAGTTAAGACTACTAGAAATCTTATTTACGAAGTAAAAAGGCGGAAAGGCTGGAATTAGGGGCTTGGCTGGTATTAGGGACATCCACCCTACCCGGGGTTTTTCGTGTCCTACAACTCGGGGAGAGCCTCCAAATTTAAAATAAAATCTTTTTCTGACTGAAGCACGTTTGGCGAGAGTGGCGACGGGCTTCACGAGCGGGTGGAAGCCGCCTCTTCAATATATTCTGCGTCCGCCTCCATCGCTGTCTAAGCGTTGACTGATGCGTAATTGACGAAATGCCGTTACACTGTAGGTTATTCGTCAATCACAACCGTGATTGTTGTAAAACTGACAGCAAAACCTACCGTGTAATGGGCGTCATACACACAGCATCATTTTATTGCGTGTTAAACGAGGTTTCGCTTTAGTCTGTAAACAAAACACATACCAATACAGAAAAAATCACGTTTCTTGTATGGTCTTTACACAAGAAATGTGTTTTATGGGGTCCTTTAATATTTTACTTGTTTTCTTTTTTATTTTATGTTGTTATAGCAGCAATATAAATACACATTCTGTGAAAATTCTACATATTACGGTTCATAAGATACAGCCTACTGACAGACCGACGGAACGATAGTGGAAACTTGGGTCCCGTTGATACTCTTTGGGTACGGAACCCTAATAAACGGCAATTATGTCATTTGAGCAATACTACAGAAATATTTATTAAATAATATAACATTAGGTTATATTATAATAACTTAAATATATTATATTATATTATAAAATATAGTAACAATAAATTCACATATAAAAATCTCAGCCACGGGGAACTTTATTTTTGCATTCGCGGCAACACTGAATAGCGTCATTTATATTTTGTGACTTATTTATGGCTCGTGTTATTTTATGTTAAAATTTCGAAATTGTATGATATTATATGATATTGTATGATAGTATGTGATTCAAATGTCTTTGTTATTTCTTGTAGTATTATTTTTACACAGTTTCAATACGTAAACTGGTATTTTACTTCGGATTATGATCAAAATTTAATAAAACATTCGGTACGTTCACCTCACACGTTGCCTGCAACGCGACTGGCTCGGGTACACCGATTTCGGCGTAGTATTTGCTTAGAGTATTCAACTAACACAGGGGGAGGAAAGTTGGTAGTAAAAATTTGAAGTCTAAAATGTATGGAAACAGGCTCCCTCTTAAGACGTTTCGCGAAAAAAGTTAGGCGCCATTTTTAATAAAATGTCAACAGGTACCAGTGCTTCCAGATTCACTGTAATTACAGTAGATCTACTGTATTTTAGACTTTTCTACTGTACACTGTAAGGGTAAAATACAGTGTATGGAATATACTGCATTTAATTTTAAAGCAATATACTGTATTTAACTTTCATATAGCTTTATCAATTTGAATACGTAAAACGGAACGCAGCTAATCTAAACCCAGCAAACGTAGTGATTATATTCTCTTTGACACCCACTGACATTTTTTCATAGACAATGTTGTAACAAAATTGCGGGGAATTCCCTGGCAAATCGGAAGTGACGTGAGCACTCTGGGACGCAACTAGCAATAAGTAACAGTCTCTGTCTTACAAAGGAACATCGCGTTTTTCGTCTAATTCTTTACACTTAAACTGGTTTTGCCCTGGTGCATACATTTTTAATTGTTTTGGGTGATGTGAAATGAAATCTAAACTATAACTTATAGTGACTAGCGATATTACTGTAAAAATGAGCTCAAGCAGTGAGGAAAGTTATGTGCGTAGCGATGCTGGTCCGATAAGAGCTAAAAAGAAATATCGGCAACAATTCCGTGATGAATGGCTCCAAATACAAGACTACCGTAAGTGGTTAACACGTGATAAAAAGTCGGCTTATAAATGCATTTGCACTGTTTGCGAATCTTCTTTGATTTCTGATCTGGGTGCAATTAAAAGACACAGTGAAAGTGCTAAGCATAAACTTCGTCTTCCTGGCCTATCGCATGTGCGTACCATTGATAATATTTTTAAAAGTCAACAACGTGGAAGTGATGATGATCAGCGGAAAATTACAGAATTAAAATTATCGGCTTTTATGGCAGAACATAAAATATCGCACATAGTGATGGATCATCTCGTTGATTTACTTCCAAAAGCTTTTCCAGATTCTAAAATCGCAAGTAATATCAAACTTATACACACTAAATTACAAGCAGTAATAAATAACGTTATCGGAGCTTCTGAAGGAGAATGTTTAGTCGAAGATTTAAAATGCGTAAAGTTCTCTATAATGGTAGATGAAAGTACCGATGTTGCCAGTGTGAAAACAATGTGTGTTGTAGTCAAATATTATGATTCTAATTTAGGACGTATCATCAGTCGATTCTGGGACCTTATTCAAATATTTGATGATAAAAAAGCTTGAAAGTCTGGTGATTATACAGCTACGGCTGAAAAATTATTTAATTTAATAATAAAATCATTTCGAGACAAAAATATACCCTTAGAAAATATAATAGGGTTTGGTTCCGATGAATGTAATACGATGATGGGGTGCCATAATTCAGTGTCCTCACGATTTAGACAACTATGCCCAAGTATTATCGTGATCAAATGCCTTTGCCATTCTTTACATTTGTGCGCTTCCGACGCTTGCAAAGAATTGCCTCACGATGCAGAAAAACTGACTCGATTGATATACAATTACTTCAAAAATAGTAGCAAACGTCAAGCAGAGTTAAAAGAATTTCAAGCATTTACAGACACTAACATACACAAATTGCTACGTCCAGCCCAGACGCGTTGGTTGTCTCTATCCAGTGTTGTGAACAGAATTATGGAGCAATGGGACGCCTTGCGATTATTCTTCGACGATAAATGGCTGGAAGACCAAGATTGCCAAGCCATTCACATTCTTTTGAGTGATCACATCATCAAGGCATATTTTTATTTTTTATGTTATATGCTGCCAAAATTTACCCGCGTCAATGTATATTTTCAAAACGAAGATCCGGTTATTATCGAAGCTCATAACAAAATGACAGAGCTATACAGAGAACTGCTATCCTTATACATAACTCCGAATCATATAAAGAACACCCCACTCGACGCAATTGATCCTACTGATAGTCAACATTACATAAATCTGAAAGATATATACCTGGGATTGGGTGTTGCTAATCAAGTTTCTCTCCCAGAGCTACATGCAAGTACCGAAGAAGTTACAGTGATGAAACAGAAATGCCTGAATTTTATCGTTAAAGCATGCGTGGGTATTCGGAAAAGATACAGCTTGAATGACCCAGTTTTGAGCTCAATCGCAAAGTTGGATCCGGGTTCTTGCTTATCTGATAATAGACTACAGTCTTTGTCGTCACTGTTCCCAGTGCTGCCAAGGTTTAAACCCCAAACTTTAAATGATCAACAGACGTTAGATGACGAATGGAGAAACTTAATTTTGACTGCAAATGAACTACATTTGAATACAAATCAACCAGCAGACGTGTTTTGGCATCAGGTATAATTTTACCATTTAAGAACTTTACGTAATATTGCACATATATTATCATTTCACAGATTTGTTTTTTTTTTTCAGTTGTCTCAAATCAAAGATAGCAACGGTGATAATAAATACCATTTTCTGCCTCGTTTTATGCTTCAAGTTTTATCGTTGCCTCACTCAAACGCTGAGTGCGAACGAAAGTTCAGCGAAATAAATAATATAAAAACAAAGCAGAGAAACTGTTTAGTCACAAATACCATCAAAGGCAACATGCTAGCTCAGCAAGCTATTCAGCGGACTTCCGAAAATTGCGTGAATTTCAATCCAACTAAGGAAATGATTTCAAGGATGACAGCAAAGATTTATGAAAATCATGAGCAAATTGTTATGGAATAAGAAAATAAATAATATTTTTTTTGTATCTAAATGTATGTTTTTATTTATTTAATAAATTATAGCAATTTGTATTGATAAACAAAGTCATAAAGCAGCTTATTTTTCTATCAATATTTAAATAAAGTTTTATTGTAATTTTACTGTAATCGATTTTGAAATCTGCTGTATAGTTTTTAGAAACTCCTATATTTTTTAACTGGCAACACTGTAATTTTACTTTTGTAATCTGGAAGCACTGACAGGTACTCTATTGTCAACATCGCCATTTTCTATTTCTATGAGCGCCATTATGCATCACGTTCACGAGATTTAGTTTGTTAACCTAATAATTTTCTTTGTTCTTATTAATCTTTTTGTTACATTGCATTCATTACTGTTATTTTATTCTTACGATGTCGTCACGAAGAAAGATTTGTGTTTTTGGATGCGACGAATAAGGTAAGAAATATTTGAAAACCTATCACTTAAACATATTGATAATTCAACGGGAAAGGTTACTTGGAATTACAATTTCACACTGTTATACTAATAGAACGATTATTTTCAGGTGCATCTATACATAGGTTCCCTCATCCTATAAAGATGTTCCATATTTGGATGTGGAAAATTGGAAATAGATTAGAATAGAACCAATGAAAATTTTCACTACTAAAAAGATATGTGATTACCACTTCGAATCAAATTACATAAGTACAGGTCATCATTTAATCTTAACAGCTGTTCCAACTCTGTATCTTAAAGGTGAGTTTTAAATTAAAAACAATATAATTAACATGTATATTTAAATGGTAGAATTAGATAATGTATGTAGGTGTCACATTCATTGAATGTGTATGTGGGGGGAATATGATTCAAACTGTTTTTTTATAATGTCTATAGGGTGGTAATTTGGAATTGAGTATATACTTGGGGTGGCCACTTAAATCATATTATATCTTATACAATATAATAAGTGTTCAAAATGTTCTTAAGGATTTATAAACTTGATAACTGCTGTACTAACTACTAACCTATTATTAGGTAAACTGTATGCTCTTTTGCCTTAAAAAAATCTTACTCTTGAAAACAATTCCGATTGATCGGAATTGAAATTATAACATTTCATACTCTTGATAGCCACTGTAGCACTAAATTAGTTTAATATTGTGTGGTGATTGTGTGAACTAATTGAGATTAGAATTTATCCAATCCAATTGTAAGCAAAATCGGTACTCTTGACACAGATATCTGTCTAGTATTGAGTTGGAATTGAAATTTAGGCAATAGCAAAACATTAACCTTATGAAGTGGTTATATTAATTGTTTGTTTTCTGCAATTATCTTATTCATTGCGATAAAATAATGGCATGTTTAGGTTTTGTGTTTAATATTCTACGCCATAATTGTGCATTACAATTAAAATAAAGATGAAATGAGCTTCGATAATGCATTTTAAAGACTTAGTCTTTTCTATCAGGGATGATGATTTTAGGGCTAATTATTGTATTATTAAGGACTTATATATTAAGCCATGAATAAAAATCTAAATATACAACCTCCGAGGAGAAGAATCTTCTCAGAAGACATGTTATGAATGAAGTACTGTTAATCAATATTAGCCTAAAAAAATAATTTACAGCCTTTATAAGTTCCACTGCTGGGCAGAGGTCTATTCTCATTTCTGAGAGGTTTATTGATGGATTTCACATGTAGAAAATATGAATATAATGTTAAGTTACATTAAATGTATAATTTTATAAGTATTAAAAATAAAACGATATAGGTAATGTAATTTTAATAAGGATTTATTAATAAAACTATGATATAATGTTTAACCATTTATTTAATAAAGAAATATTTTAATTAATCTATCATCATTAGTATGTATCTGTTCTTAAATTTATTAATTAATTTTTTTTATATAACAGTGAAAACTATATTTATAATAAACCAAAAATTAGTTTCTTTTACAACAGAAATTAAAAGAAAATAAATCAATTTAAAATAACATGGAAACATTGATAAAATTTGATGTCTTATTTATTTTAAATTACAGTAATGCTATTGTTGTTGTATTATTTGGAAAACAGCAATATTAATAACTGAAATTGACATTGGATCGAAATTGTTATTGGATTCAAGAGTAAGCTTGCTGATGGTTATCAGACAGACAATTATTAGATATATCATTTATTACAGCCTATACCCGCCGTGGTAACCGAGAGAGCAGTATGTCAGATATTTCTTTTTTCAACCAACTTCTAAGGTAACTTTTTGAAAGTTACCTTAGAACTGTTTTTAGGAGGACAGATTTTGATGATTCTTTTTTATTTTTTTATTTGGAAGCTGGTGTTTTTTCATCTCATAGCAAGAGTCGCTATTTATTTAAATGATTTTATGGAGTGAATTTTCTATGCCCAATGTGTTCTTCTGTGCTTCTGTATAAAATTTGCCACAAAGAGAATATGTCCAGTAAAGTTTTTTTACCAGTGAAAATCCTCAAATTAAAAGAAATACCTTAACCGTGTACTAGATTTTTTGAAAGAGGCATTACGGACAAAAGGAAAAACATAATTCAAAATCTGTGTCCATTAATGCCTGCTAATTGCAGACTTTTTTGGGAAAATTTGTGTGTTAATAATAATGGTGAAAACTTAGCAAACGAGGAATAAGGCACAGAAAATTAAACACTGTAATTAAATGATAATAGATACGATCAGTGAATGTGATAAAATGTAAGCTAGTTTTTGAAACAGAATATGTTGGTATAATCTTCCAGGTAACACTGATTCTAAAAGTTGACTTATCAGTGATTCTTAATTATATTTAAGTATTGTTTTTCATTAAGGTGCTTTTTGGAGAAGTCCTTTTGAAACAATTTTATGTTAAAAAACTTTTTCATGTTGTTTGTAAGTTAATGAGATTAATTTTGTGCCAAATAACACTATAATTATAAACATTATAATTTTTGATCTCTATAAATAAGTCTTTAAGTTTTGCTAAGAAATATATTTTTAGAGAAGTTTTCTATTTTCAAGAATTGTTATGGCAAATAATAAGAACCAATATGTGATTTTTGATCTTACTGATAAAGTTTTATAAATAAAACATGTAAGTTAACTATATTTTTGTTCCGTTTTCCACTATTTAATGCATACTGCTCATCATGTTCTAACAAAAATATAAAAATGTTACTTTTAAAAGCAATAACATCCTTTACTGTGCAATGAAATAATTAAAAAAATTAAAACCTTAGTGAAAGGGCAGTATTGTACTAACTACTGTTTTACGTAGCTATTTAAGTGTATTACCATTTTCTCAAAACCCCCTTTCCTGACTTCTGCCCCGTCTGCATCCACATGACCAGCCTTCAACATCACAGACAAATGTTAATAAAGTTATAGTATATAAGAATAGAATACCATAGAATCATTTTTAACACATAGATTACAAAACCTTTGTCCTGGGGGAACCAGCAAGAAACCTTGTGGGACTTTTTTTTGGAGTATTGTATACAATTAGTATGAAAACAGAAACAGCATGGTAGTGATCACCCGATTGTCAGGGGTTATTTATCAATCATGTACATTTTAGTAGCATAATAAATCTTTATTAAACAATTTTTGATTAATAAAAATTTTAAACTTTTTGATACATAAGGCCTGCATATATATGATGGAATTACTGGCTCTTTGGACTCGAGGATATCACTAACTTCTGCTTGTTTCTAGTATTTACAGAATATACATCACTATTTTTACATAAAACTATGTTTTTTCTTGTGTACATACATTAAATTTAAAAAAAATATTATTTTATAATTACAAAATTTTTTTGTATAAGGTTTTTGGCGGCTCCGTGGCGCAGTGGCTTAGCGATAAGTCACAACGCTAATGGCCATGAGTTCGAATCCCTCACGGAACAAGTATTTGTATGGCCTACAAATAATTATCCCAAGTCTGGATGTTTGTCCTTGTGAATTACTAAAATATAAGGAATTAAATATTTGATGTTTGATAGTTTTTTTTTAAATGTTACCTCCACACTAGGATTTTCTCCTGTATCGTGGGGTCAGTTTATGTAAACTATGTAAACTGACCCCACAATACAGGAGAAAATCCTAGTGTGGAGGTAACATTTAAAAAAAAACTATCAAACATCAAATATTTAATTCCTTATATTTTAGTAGCTAACAATATTTTCTAACAATTTGCTTAGTTGAGAAGCAAATATAGTCTAGTATCTGAATATCTTATACTAAAATATATAATTTTACAACATTTATTGCAAATGTCTACATTGTAAATTCCAATTTGGAAAAACTAATGTATAAATTAAACATTTTCAGATAAACCGACGAAATATGATACTACCCTAAGAATTAGAAGTTGTTACAAAAACATGCGAGAAAACTTAAATTTTAATTAAAGAAGTCTAGAAAAACTATAAAAGATTTTAGGACTCGTCTATCAAATGCAGAATAAATGAGTAATCAAGTAGCATTTGAGAAGATCACCAAAAAGATGACATTTGCAGCGAAGGTTTTGTTATAGCTGTTTAGAATCATTTACTGTAAAAATATGTTTCATATTTTGTGTTGTCAAAACTGTTTATGACTCGTTTATTGTAAAAAATATTATTTTTATGCTTTGTTTTGTTAGAGTTGTTGAGAATCATGTATTGTATTAAATATTATTTTTTTGCCTAGTTTTTTTATAACTGTTAAGAATTGTATCTCATAAAAAATATTTTCTTAGTTTGTATTGTGAAAGCTGTTAAGAATAACTTATTATAGAAATATTGATTTCATCATTTGTATTGTCTAAGCTGTTAAGAATCATTTATTGTTAAAATATTAGTTTCCTACTTTGTATTGTGAATGCTGTGTTATATGAATCGTTTATTGTAAAAATGTTAGTTTGTGTGTGGCGCAGTAAGAATATCCACCAGTCCATATCATCCCGTGAGTGTCATTAGAGGCGACAGAGGGAAACAAATCAGAAGATGGACAGCAGTTCCTTCCTAATAACGACTAAATTTAAAAGCTGCAGTTGGCAAGCTGCTTGCCAAGCGTTGCAACTATGGTAAATATCTCTTCTATGAGGCGATTGTCGAAGCTGTGTTCTGATGAATCACTTATTTAATTAAACAAATATTATTTCATATTTTCTATTGTCAAAACTGTTATGAATAACAAGAGGCCAAGCCCTCTTTTTATCTTTTCGCCAGTTAGATTATTGGTTGCCGGCTTTTTAAAAAGGAGTAGACTGTTTTCTTGAAGGTCCCTAAGTCGTATCGGTCCGGAAAAATCGCTGGTGGTAATCGATTCCACAAGGAAGTTGTGCGAGGAAGAAAACATCTTCTAAATCGCACAGTGGTGGACCGCCAATCATCGGTGTGAAGGGCCAAGAGGGGCATCGACGGAAACCTTTTTTTTTTATAGAAGAGGGGGCAAACGAGCATGCGGCTCACCTGATGGTAAGTGACTACCGCCGCCCATGAACAACCGCAACACCAGGGGAATTGCAGATGCGTTGCCGGCCTTTTAGAAAGGTGTAAGCTCTTTTCTTGAAGGTTCCTAAGTCGTATCGGTCCGGAAAATTCTCTGGTGGTAATTGATTCCACAAGGAAGTTGTGCGAGGGCGAAAACTTCTAAATCGCACAGTGGTGGACCGCCAACCTAATATCCGTCCGGATGAGAGGTTAGCAGAAAGTCCAACAGGGAAGGTGTATGATCCTCCACATCTGGAATCTGCGTAGGCGAAGTAACCAGTTGTGTCAGACCATATGCCAAAGCATTTAATATTTTTTCAGTTTAATATTTTGTTATATCAAAGCTGTGTTTATGAATAATTTATTGTTTAAAAAATGTTATTTTCATATTTTGTTTGTGAAAATTTATTGTTAAAGACATTAGTTTAATATTTTGGTATAATAAAGCTGTGTTTCGAATCATTTATTGTAAAAAAATATTGGATTACCGTGTAGTGACAGTCTCAGAATATCCACAACTCCATATTATCATTCCGTGGGTTTCACCTTAAGAGGTGACAGAGGGAAACATATCAGCAGGTGGACTGATCTTCCTAATAACTGCAGTTGCCAACCCACTTGCCAAGTGTGGTTACAGCTTTGGATTGATTCATAGCCGTTTAAGTTTACCCTTATGATATTAGCTTGACATTTTGTAATGTTAAAGTTTGTTATGATTCATTTATTATAATAAACTCATTCATTTATTAAAATAATAAAATTTACTATTTTTGTATAGACACTGTGTTATTAGTATATTAATGATATAAACATTAGAATAAAAATATTAGTTGTATGTGTTGTATTGTCAAAATTATGTTAAATCTTTATCAATCTCCTTTATTTTCATTAAGTTCAAAAAATATAGAATAATGTACCAATTATTTGTGTTTAATTTCATTCACGTTAAAACATATTATACTTAATTCCTATTTACAAATTATGAAGCACACTTTATGTACTAGGATTAATTATTAACAACCAACTGTTAAATTAAACTTTTTAAAATGTTTCAAATGTTTAATTCACAGTTGGTTGTTGATAATTAATCCTAGTACATAAACCGTAATGAATTACCATGAATAGAGGTGTATATGTAGAGGTGCATGTATTATACGCACGCACACTTTCTCACAATATTGTGGCGAAACGACACCAGACGGCGCTAGTACTCCTCGGTTGACAGATTTTGCGCGAGTGGGCTCTCTTTTCCTGTATAGGACAGTTACTATACTCTTTGAACTAACAGGAGACGACATTGGAGAGCGTTCCCCGCTGTCAAAAGTACGAGAGCGCGGATCATTCCCGTTATATAAAACTAGTTGCGCCGCGTACGGCGTCAGTTACTCGTAGACTGGTATACAGTAATCTGTGTCAGTTACCAAGTAGTCGTAAGCATGAGTTGACCTCCACAAAAATGCCGAGTTGCAGTGTGTTTTCTTGTAAAAAAAAGATCACAGACCACAAATTTACAAAAAGACGGCGTGACCTTTCATTTTTAAGTATTTATTTTGATTTCAATAATTAATATAAGCATTAAATCACGAAAATTCTGATCAATATAGCTTTTTTTTTTTAATTTATTCGTGACCATGGTTGCGAGGACCTTCAGTCGGAAACATTACAGTATAACACAAATCATACATCAAATTAAGAATATTTAACTTTAGCAATAACAATTTAGAATGGTTTTCCATCATTTTTCTACTTTTTTTTCCCTATTATATAAATATAGAACAGACTAAATTACAAAATAAGCTAAGAAGCTATTTACAAACATTATCAATTAATTAAGGACACATAAATAATTAAAGTTTTCCTACAGTATTAAGTATAAATTTAAATAGAGGCATGAAAAAAGCTACATCAGTTAATAGATCCTGAACGCGGCGGGGAACACTTATAGAATTTTCTTCAGCGACATCACTAATTTCACTGACAAGTGTCAACCTTTGAATACCAAACGATGGGCACTGGAAAATTATGTGGTTTATGTCTGCATTATGTTGAGCGCAATGTGTGCATTTGTCATCAGCTACGATCTTCATTCTGTACAGATGTGCAGGGACGAGGCAATGGCCAAACCGTAGGCGGTTAATGGTCGTTATGAACTTTCGGCCTGTGTATTTAAAGCGGTTGTACCACGGAATCGTTGGTAAGTCTGGCTGTAATTCTGCGTACCATTTTCCCTTATTCACGGTAGTAATGTTCCAGTAATCCTTCCACAGTTTCTTTGACAAGATTTTAAAGTGTTGATAATAATCTGTGAAGGGGACTTTACAATCTTGTGTTTGGTCTTCGTGGTGATCTTGCCGCGTCGCCTGATCCACTATCTCATTTCCGACTATGCCACTGTGTGAGGGAACCCATAAGAATTCTATACATTTTCCAATCGTTTGCAGCTTATCCTTAATTTTATACAAAATATAATTCTGTTTATATACTAAATTACAGTTACATAAAGCAGATAAAACACTTTTAGAATCACTAACTATCAAGATATTTACACTATTTACATTGGTATTTACATACGACAAAGCAGCTAATATAGCCCAACTTTCTGCTGTAAAAATACTACAATTACTTGGCAACTTAATACATTTAATAACTTTCATTTGTGGGTCATAAAATGCTGCTTTAACAAGATCACTCTTGGAGCCATCAGTATATATAGTGTAAAAGTCTTTCTTTTCATTTAAAAATTCTAAGAATTCATTTTTATATCAAGATAATTAAGTAATGTATCATATGGGCATTTGTAAATAGGCCACTTGTTACTGATGTACATATCTCTTGTCTGATTCTTTACACAAGTTGTTATTGTTGTTATTTCAGGCAATGTACCCGAAATAAGAGTATTAGCCGAGATGTTGGCTGTTCCATTTAACTGGGAGACTTCTGCAGGATATAAAATATTACTCAGGACAATATCATTGTTATAAGACAACTCCTTCAAACAGAATCTTTCAGCTAACTGCAAACGCCGCAAGGACAATGGAGGTATGCAATTTTCAACTTCCATAGAAACAATAGGAGTGGTGCGCATGGCTCCACTGATTATTCTCAGACCCATATTCTGTATCACATCCAATTTTCTTAACAATGTGCTACTAATATTCATGTAAGCTAGAGAGCTATAGTCAAAGTGACTCCTTACAATACTTTTATACAGCATGCTAAGTGTTTTTGGATCAGACCCCCAAAAGGTTCCTGCTAAGCTTCTTAGTACATTTATGCTCTTCATGGCATTCTGACAGATATAGTTGATATGCTTATCAAATTTCAGTTTATCATCTAGCACAACTCCTAAAAATTTATGATGATTGGCTATAGGAATTGTATCATTATTATAGTTAATTTTAATTCCAGAGTTTACAAATGTGTCTTTACTGAATACTAAAACTTTACTTTTCTCAGAACTTATTTCTAATTTTAAAATGTTGCTATAATAAAGATGCAATTGTGCCAATGCAGTATTAATTCTATTAATTGCTGTATTTATATTCTGGTTTTCACTGTATAAAAGTAAGTCGTCTGCAAACTGTAATATTTTAACTTGTGATGTATCTACATAATTAAGTATCTGAGATGTGTATAAATTATATAACAAAGGTGAAAGTGTCGCTCCCTGCATTGTTCCTTTGTTAACAGGCCTAGGTCCATGTAGTTTATTGTTAAATTTAACAAAAAGAGTCCTATCATGCAAGAAATTTAAAATCCAGATTAATACATTTCTTGGCAAGCTCAATTCATGCAAAACTTTTATGAGGCATTCAATATTAACATTGTCAAAGGCACCTTTAACATCTAAAAATACACATATAACATTAGAATGACTAAGTTTGGCCTTTTTAAGTTCCGATATCAGAGATACAAAGCTTTCAGAGCAACTTCTGCCTTTTCTGAATCCAAATTGTATGTGAGGTAGTTTATCCTGTGTTTCAGCAAAATAATCTAGACGCAACTTTAACATGTTTTCAAAAAGCTTACCTAAACATGATGTCAAAGAAATAGGTCTGTATGATGATGGATCATTAGCAGCTTTATTTGGCTTTAAAATGGGGATTACACATTGGGTTTTCCATGACTCTGGTATAGCTAAATTATTCCAAAGTTTATTATAAATATTTAATAACATTTCTTGTGCATTAGGATGTAATTTTTTTATTAACATATATGGTATGCTGTCCAACCCTGGTGTTGTATCTTTCCTACTTTTGAGTGCTATGTACAATTCATTTAGTGTGATGGTCTATTGAGAAATGAGTTACTTTCATTTTCAACAGATTGATCTAAAATATCATTCAAATAATCTTCATTTAACTGTGATGAGTCTGTTATGTTGTCTAAGAAGCTTGGTATCCAATCGTCAGCTAAATATCTGTAATGAGAAGAACCTATCCTTCTAAACCTTTTCATGTAGTTCCATATTCGAGAAATAGGTGTCATTCTATTAAAACTAGTACATAAATTGTGCCATAAATTAATACTTTCTTCTTTTAATATCGTTTTCTTTTGAGCATCAAGTTTTTTGTAGTTAATGAAATTAGGAATACTAGGCGATTTTCTATACTCTTTGAGGGCCTCCTTAGACTTTCGAACAGCATCATCACATGTTTGGTTCCACCAGGGTGCAGGTTTTCTCATTACCCTTAAAGTTTGTTGTGGTGTTTGCTTTGGAACAGTCTCTGCTCTAATATCATACAAAATATTTACAAAATTATTATACAAATCAATAGGTTCGGTACCATGTATTTCTAAATTACAAAATCTTGTTTCTGATAGTTCTTGATATTTAGACCAATCTGCCTTATTATAAATGTATTTTTCTTCCGCAGGACGCACTTCATATACAGAAGGCTTCACATTTAGAGCGACCACAGTTGGGTAGTGGTAACTGCCCATCGGGTCGTCATGGATGTGCCATTCACAAAGAGGAGCTAATGCGGAACTAACCAGAGCTAAATCTATTGCCGATTGATTTCTGTTAGGATACTGGACAGTTGTAGCTATGTCACCATCATTCAGAATACACAAGTCAAAGTCATCAATAAGTGCATATAAACTGTTACCTCTATTATTATTTGTCTGACATCCAAACAGGATATGGTGAGCATTAAAATCTCCCATAATAAGACATGGCTTAGGAGTTTCAAGTAGCACCTTTTTCATTTTGCTTGTAGCAGACCTGCTGCTATTGGGAGGACAATATACACATAGAATATGTAACTTACCCATAGTTGTGTCTACGGAAATGCAAATATTTTGCACAGATTCGAAAAAAGTTGTATTTACAATAGTGTATTTTAAGTTTTGTTTAATTAATATACCTACTCCGTTATGTTCATTTACTGAGTTTTTGTGTATAAAATTATAGGGTGAAAAATCGGGAATTGTACTAGTTGTTTTAAGCCAGGTTTCATTTAAGAGACAGATATCTATATGTTGTTCCGAAAGAAATTTTTTAAGTAAGGCCCTTTTGCTCTGTAAGCTCTGTATGTTATATTGTGCTATATTCAAATATGTATCCATTATGTTATTAAATTACTTAAAAGTATGTCTTTAATTCTTTTATTTGTAATCGGAGCGCTGCTCTTGTCATTGCCAAGCATAACTAATGATTTGACTAGCGCATTAATAATTAACTCGTTGTTTAGTATTTGCTCAGCATTATATGATACTTTATTTATGTCAGTATCAACAGTCTTTACAGGTTTAAGGTTTGGGAATGCTTTCGGGTCGGGCATTGCTGGGATACTCACCACAGTGGCATACGATCGGTTTGGTTTTAAATACTTATTCTTCTTCTCTTCCATCTTTTGTTGCTTCACTGGACAGTTCCTAGAGATGGCCAAGTGACCACCATGACAGTTGATGCACACAATTTCTTCGACGTCGCATTCTTTGTAGGAGTGTTGTCCAGAGCACGAAGAACACCTTTGAGAACCTCGGCAGACTTTTGCAGAGTGATTAAACTTCAGGCATTTGTAGCACTGTAGTAACGGAGGTATGTATATGTGGACCGGGTATCTGAACATCTGTATGTAGGCGTGCTGCGGCAGCGCTGTTGCAGCGAAGGTCACTGCAATGGTCCCCAGCGGAGTGAGCTTTCCATCTACCTTTCGCATAAATCTCTTGACGGAGATGACTTCTGCATCGCAGGTAATGCTTTTGTATATGTCTTCATTGCTTAAGTCTTTAGGTACGTATCTTATGACTCCAGTAATTTCAGTGAGGTGCGCCGGCACGAACGCTTTCAATTTGTGTTTTCCTAGAAAGTGTGTCATGGTAAGGAAGTTATTGGCCGGTGCTGGTTTTCTGAACGTTATGCCCACTTTATATGCGTTCACTCTGTGGACGCCAGCGATTCCTTTTACATTTTCCGTAAATAACTTTGTAAGTGCTATTGGATTTTTGTTACCGATTTTTTCGTTTTCTTGTGATTCAACGTAGACTACGCAGTCTACGCTGTGGTTTTCTGGGAATTGTCGCGTGTAATTTGTTTTTGTGAAAATTTTGTAGTCGACGGCATTTCCTTTGCGAGTATCATGCAATTTCCTTTTCTTTGATTCTTGCTCGGCGGGGGCCGGGCCCCCGTCGGAATCTGGACCCATTGTATTTACACTATATATAGGTATGTACTAATTAACTATTTACACGGAAATTTACAAAAAATATACAAAATAAAAAGAAATGAAAATTCAGCAAAAATTAAAACACCCGCTTAGCTTGACTTCCCGCCGAAAATTCCATCAATATAGCTTTTTTTTTTTAATTTATTCGTGACCATGGTTGCGAGGACCTTCAGTCGGAAACATTACAGTATAACGCAAATCATACATCAAATTAAGAATATTTAACTTTAGCAATAACAATTTAGAATGGTTTTCCATCATTTTTCTACTTTTTTTTTCCCTATTATATAAATATAGAACAGACTAAATTACAAAATAAGCTAAGAAGCTATTTACAAACATTATCAATTAATTAAGGACACATAAATAATTAAAGTTTTCCTACAGTATTAAGTATAAATTTAAATAGAGGCATGAAAAAAGCTACATCAGTTAATAGATCCTGAACGCGGCGGGGAACACTTATAGAATTTTCTTCAGCGACATCACTAATTTCACTGACAAGTGTCAACCTTTGAATACCAAACGATGGGCACTGGAAAATTATGTGGTTTATGTCTGCATTATGTTGAGCGCAATGTGTGCATTTGTCATCAGCTACGATCTTCATTCTGTACAGATGTGCAGGGACGAGGCAATGGCCAAACCGTAGGCGGTTAATGGTCGTTATGAACTTTCGGCCTGTGTATTTAAAGCGGTTGTACCACGGAATCGTTGGTAAGTCTGGCTGTAATTCTGCGTACCATTTTCCCTTATTCACGGTAGTAATGTTCCAGTAATCCTTCCACAGTTTCTTTGACAAGATTTTAAAGTGTTGATAATAATCTGTGAAGGGGACTTTACAATCTTGTGTTTGGTCTTCGTGGTGATCTTGCCGCGTCGCCTGATCCACTATCTCATTTCCGACTATGCCACTGTGTGAGGGAACCCATAAGAATTCTATACATTTTCCAATCGTTTGCAGCTTATCCTTAATTTTATACAAAATATAATTCTGTTTATATACTAAATTACAGTTACATAAAGCAGATAAAACACTTTTAGAATCACTAACTATCAAGATATTTACATTGGTATTTACATACGACAAAGCAGCTAATATAGCCCAACTTTCTGCTGTAAAAATACTACAATTACTTGGCAACTTAATACATTTAATAACTTTCATTTGTGGGTCATAAAATGCTGCTTTAACAAGATCACTCTTGGAGCCATCAGTATATATAGTGTAAAAGTCTTTCTTTTCATTTAAAAATTCTAAGAATTCATTCTTAGTACTAACCGAATTTAAATGACATTTTATATCAAGATAATTAAGTAATGTATCATATGGGCATTTGTAAATAGGCCACTTGTTACTGATGTACATATCTCTTGTCTGATTCTTTACACAAGTTGTTATTGTTGTTATTTCAGGCAATGTACCCGAAATAAGAGTATTAGCCAAGATGTTGGCTATTCCATTTAACTGGGAGACTTCTGCAGGATATAAAATATTACTCAGGACAATATCATTGTTACAAGACAACTCCTTCAAACAGAATCTTTCAGCTAACTGCAAACGCCGCAAGGACAATGGAGGTATGCAATTTTCAACTTCCATAGAAACAATAGGAGTGGTGCGCATGGCTCCACTGATTATTCTCAGACCCATATTCTGTATCACATCCAATTTTCTTAACAATGTGCTACTAATATTCATGTAAGCTAGAGAGCTATAGTCAAAGTGACTCCTTACAATACTTTTATACAGCATGCTAAGTGTTTTTGGATCAGACCCCCAAAAGGTTCCTGCTAAGCTTCTTAGTACATTTATGCTCTTTATGGCATTCTGACAGATATAGTTGATATGCTTATCAAATTTCAGTTTATCATCTAGCACAACTCCTAAAAATTTATGATGATTGGCTATAGGAATTGTATCATTATTATAGTTAATTTTAATTCCAGAGTTTACAAATGTGTCTTTACTGAATACTAAAACTTTACTTTTCTCAGAACTTATTTCTAATTTTAAAATGTTGCTATAATAAAGATGCAATTGTGCCAATGCAGTATTAATTCTATTAATTGCTGTATTTATATTCTGGTTTTCACTGTATAAAAGTAAGTCGTCTGCAAACTGTAATATTTTAACTTGTGATGTATCTACATAATTAAGTATCTGAGATGTGTATAAATTATATAACAAAGGTGAAAGTGTCGCTCCCTGCATTGTTCCTTTGTTAACAGGCCTAGGTCCATGTAGTTTATTGTTAAATTTAACAAAAAGAGTCCTATCATGCATGAAATTTAAAATCCAGATTAATACATTTCTTGGCAAGCTCAATTCATGCAAAACTTTTATGAGGCATTCAATATTAACATTGTCAAAGGCACCTTTAACATCTAAAAATACACATATAACATTAGAATGACTAAGTTTGGCCTTTTTAAGTTCCGATATCAGAGATACAAAGCTTTCAGAGCAACTTCTGCCTTTTCTGAATCCAAATTGTATGTGAGGTAGTTTATCCTGTGTTTCAGCAAAATAATCTAGACGCAACTTTAACATGTTTTCAAAAAGCTTACCTAAACATGATGTCAAAGAAATAGGTCTGTATGATGATGGATCATTAGCAGCTTTATTTGGCTTTAAAATGGGGATTACACATTGGGTTTTCCATGACTCTGGTATAGCTAAATTATTCCAAAGTTTATTATAAATATTTAATAACATTTCTTGCGCATTAGGATGTAATTTTTTTATTAACATATATGGTATGCTGTCCAACCCTGGTGTTGTATCTTTCCTACTTTTGAGTGCTATGTACAATTCATTTAGTGTGAATGGTCTATTGAGAAATGAGTTACTTTCATTTTCAACAGATTGATCTAAAATATCATTCAAATAATCTTCATTTAACTGTGATGAGTCTGTTATGTTGTCTAAGAAGCTTGGTATCCAATCGTCAGCCAAATATCTGTTATGAGAAGAACCTATCCTTCTAAACCTTTTCATGTAGTTCCATATTCGAGAAATAGGTGTCATTCTATTAAAACTAGTACATAAATTGTGCCATGAATTAATACTTTCTTCTTTTAATATCCTTTTCTTTTGAGCATCAAGTTTTTTGTAGTTAATGAAATTAGGAATACTAGGCGATTTTCTATACTCTTTGAGGGCCTCCTTAGACTTTCGAACAGCATCATCACATGTTTGGTTCCACCAGGGTGCAGGTTTTCTCATTACCCTTAAAGTTTGTTGTGGTGTTTGCTTTGGAACAGTCTCTGCTCTAATATCATACAAAATATTTACAAAATTATTATACAAATCAATAGGTTCGGTACCATGTATTTCTAAATTACAAAATCTCGTTTCTGATAGTTCTTGATATTTAGACCAATCTGCTTTATTATAAATGTATTTTTCTTCCGCAGGACGCACTTCATATACAGAAGGCTTCACATTTAGAGCGACCACAGTTGGGTAGTGGTAACTGCCCATCGGGTCATCATGGACGTGCCATTCACAAAGAGGAGCTAATGCGGAACTAACCAGAGCTAAATCTATTGCCGACTGATTTCTGTTAGGATACTGGACAGTTGTAGCTATGTCACCATCATTCAGAATACACAAGTCAAGTCATCAATAAGTGCATATAAACTGTTACCTCTATTATTATTTGTCTGACATCCAAACAGGATATGGTGAGCATTAAAATCTCCCATAATAAGACATGGCTTAGGAGTTTCAAGTAGCACCTTTTTCATTTTGCTTGTAGCAGACCTGCTGCTATTGGGAGGACAATATACACATAGAATATGTAACTTACCCATAGTTGTGTCTACGGAAATGCAAATATTTTGCACAGATTCAAAAAAAGTTGTATTTACAATAGTGTATTTTAAGTTTTGTTTAATTAATATACCTACTCCGTTATGTTCATTTACTGAGTTTTTGTGTATAAAATTATAGGGTGAAAAATCGGGAATTGTACTAGTTGTTTTAAGCCAGGTTTCATTTAAGAGACAGATATCTATATGTTGTTCCGAAAGAAATTTTTTAAGTAAGGCCCTTTTGCTCTGTAAGCTCTGTATGTTATATTGTGCTATATTCAAATATGTATCCATTATGTTATTAAATTACTTAAAAGTATGTCTTTAATTCTTTTATTTGTAATCGGAGCGCTGCTCTTGTCATTGCCAAGCATAACTAATGATTTGACTAGCGCATTAATAATTAACTCGTTGTTTAGTATTTGCTCAGCATTATATGATACTTTATTTATGTCAGTATCAACAGTCTTTACAGGTTTAAGGTTTGGGAATGCTTTCGGGTCGGGCATTGCTGGGATACTCACCACAGTGGCATACGATCGGTTTGGTTTTAAATACTTATTCTTCTTCTCTTCCATCTTTTGTTGCTTCACTGGACAGTTCCTAGAGATGGCCAAGTGACCACCATGACAGTTGATGCACACAATTTCTTCGACGTCGCATTCTTTGTAGGAGTGTTGTCCAGAGCACGAAGAACACCTTTGAGAACCTCGGCAGACTTTTGCAGAGTGATTAAACTTCAGGCATTTGTAGCACTGTAGTAACGGAGGTATGTATATGTGGACCGGGTATCTGAACATCTGTATGTAGGCGTGCTGCGGCAGCGCTGTTGCAGCGAAGGTCACTGCAATGGTCCCCAGCGGAGTGAGCTTTCCATCTACCTTTCGCATAAATCTCTTGACGGAGATGACTTCTGCATCGCAGGTAATGCTTTTGTATATGTCTTCATTGCTTAAGTCTTTAGGTACGTATCTTATGACTCCAGTAATTTCAGTGAGGTGCGCCGGCACGAACGCTTTCAATTTGTGTTTTCCTAGAAAGTGTGTCATGGTAAGGAAGTTATTGGCCGGTGCTGGTTTTCTGAACGTTATGCCCACTTTATATGCGTTCACTCTGTGGACGCCAGCGATTCCTTTTACATTTTCCGTAAATAACTTTGTAAGTGCTATTGGATTTTTGTTACCGATTTTTTCGTTTTCTTGTGATTCAACGTAGACTACGCAGTCTACGCTGTGGTTTTCTGGGAATTGTCGCGTGTAATTTGTTTTTGTGAAAATTTTGTAGTCGACGGCATTTCCTTTGCGAGTATCATGCAATTTCCTTTTCTTTGATTCTTGCTCGGCGGGGGCCGGGCCCCCGTCGGAATCTGGACCCATTGTATTTACACTATATATAGGTATGTACTAATTAACTATTTACACGGAAATTTACAAAAAATATACAAAATAAAAAGAAATGAAAATTCAGCAAAAATTAAAACACCCGCTTAGCTTGACTTCCCGCCGAACTACCACCATCAATATAGCTGAGCAGGTAGTGTTGCCAACTTAAAGTATTAATACTATAGTAAGGACTTTTGCACCACTAGGACATAATTAAATTTTGCTTAATAAAGTAATAAAGTAAAAAAATAAAGAAACGACATTTGTCTATAACAAATGTCGTTTCTCTTTCTTCTAATTACACAAGACCAAATCGTGTTATTGAATAGTCTTAAATTCATCAATATTATTGTGATCTGTTTGCAAAACTAATATTATTTCAAACAACATTAATAATCTTTAATTGTTTTTAACGAAATGAAAACATCAATTTAAATTGTTTTATTGTATATAAAACGTTTGAAATTGATATTTTCATTTCATTATGTTACGTTATGAAACGAAAAGAAGGGGAATTCCGAGTATATAAAATGGTATCATCAAGACAATAATAGTGATGTTCACTGTAATCTTTAGTGTCGATGTTTTTATTTGACTATAAGTAATACCTTGATATATAATACCAAGGTGTTATTTAAAATTATTTTTTGTACAATGTTTAAAAAAGATCTTTGGTTTTACAGTTTTCCAAAAGATCCCAATCATATAACCTGGGTACCTAAACGAACAAGCACTATTTGTTCCGAGCATTTTGACCAATCGGTTTTCTTAATCCAATCAAATAATAAAAAGAAACTAAATGAAACTGCTGTACCGACTTTGAAATTATTGGAAGTAAGTTTATTATTTTGCTACAGGTTTATTTTACATTATGAAGGATAAAATTTAAAACATGTATCAAATCGAAATGGAAGGTTTAGTGAACGATATTTATTCATTTTAAAATGTTATTTACAAGCTTATCGTCTTAGATGGTGTCAACCAAATTGTTGTTTTCAGATGAGACACGAATTGTTAATGCTTAAATAAATAAATAAGGACAAACAAATAATCTCAGTGTCATATATATAATCTATTTTTATTAAATACATACAGAGTACTACACTTTTGTACTGTAGAACACAAAATATTACCGCTTTTTACGAAGACATTAGTTATTTTTCAATCCTAAGTAAAATCACGAAAAAAAGTATGTTTGGTTAAGCGTAAACTTCGGCCAAGAGATAGCAAATGTTTAATTTTTAGGGTTCCGTACCTCAAAAGGAAAAAACTGAACCCTTATAGGATCACTTTGTTGTCCGTCTGTCTGTCTGTCTGTCTGTCAAGAGCCTTTTTCTCAGGAACGCGTGGAGGTATCAAGCTGAAATTCATATTAAATACTCAAGTCTACTGTTCCTTGGAGCTGTGAAAAAATCAAACTTCTAAGCCAACGCAATCAAAAGATACAGCCGTTTATGCCGCAAATTCGACATTCGCAAGGGAATCAAACCTACAGGTTACTTCCCGTGAACTTAGAATCTTAAAATTTAGTACGAAGCAACGTATTATAGCACAGATAAAGGAAAAATTGCGAAAAGCATGAATTTTTAGTTACATCAAATAATAAAAATATTTTGAATAGTTTTAAACTTATATACCGGATTATATACGGGAACTTATATACGGATTTGTTCGAAACCCTCGGTGCGTGAGTTCGGCTCGAACTTGACCGGTTTTTTTGATTGTTCCATTCCGTTGCTGCGTAAAGGAAGGACAAAAACAAATAAACAAAATAAAAAAACACTTTCACATTTATAATATTATATTAGTATGGATTTTGGCTTTTTGAGGGTGGAACTATACACTCCCGCTCTCTTTCTCGCTCTAGTAAATAACGTTTCTGAGTGACCAAAAAGAATAGAAGCACAGGAAAGTGCGATTTCGTGCTGCCAAATGTAGTTCAACCCTAATCCTTAAAACGGTTTAACTCTATAGGTTGGGAAAAACCTGTAAAGGTAGACCGTTTAAAACCCCTATACAGATAAAATTTCCGGTAATGGTAAAAACATTTCATAGACTAGGCATATTATATATTTGTAAGCATACAGGAACATTATTTCGATAATGATTACGTTCCACATAACATTGAACTGGCAAACTTGGTAATGGAAAAATATGCAAGCACTAGAATTAGCTACCTCGCAAAAAAAGAGTGATCCCAAAAAGTGTATTCGTCACATATATACCAAATTTATTCACTTTAAAAACCAGTAAAAATATAATATAATTCTTTTTCAATTTGTTTTAATTTTGGTAATTTTGTATTATTATTTTGTACCTTATGTATTTTTTTTAATTTACTTTGAATGCAATATTACACATTAAACTTTTGTTCATTTTTATTTTATTTAATTGGCTAATGTAACTTGTATAAAATTTCATCGACATATCCATATCGACAAGGCCCTCGCACTAGTTGTTTATGGGTTAAGCACTGTAACGATGAGACATTTATAAGAGATTTTCAAGGTTGTGTGCGTTTTGCTTAATCGTGTGCTCATATTATGCTGTGTGCGTGCGTAACGACGTGGCCCAATGTTTACGATTTGCTTAGTGTGCGTTACCTCGCCTCCCGCTAGAAGTGACAGACTTTTTGTTTGGAACTTTATGCGCATGGCGTCTCCTGTTAGTTGAATACTCTAAGAGTATTTGCTGCCGCTATTTACATGAGCGCCGGCGGTATCTAGTCAAAGCGCGTGATGACTTATCATTAATCTATGGTTACTTTATTATATAATTTACCTCTTAATCTTACATTAAAACTTCTTGCATAGACTTTTCAGAGATAAAACTCACATAAAAATATAATAATCACGAAACGCGAAGTACTTGACTAAGAAAAGTATGACAGATTAACGACTTGTGCGGTGTTGAGAGGCCAACCGACTTGGGCGCTGTCACTACTTTTCGAATTACGGCTTCTGATTGGCTGAAATCTATATCATGTGGCCAATGGTTAGACGCGCAATAAGCATCTCCATCTAAAGGCATTCAAATGTGAAAACCGTCAATTTTCGACCATTTTCAACTTGAGCGGTGTTGTACGCTAAGGGACGATGTATGATTTTATAGATATAATAAAGCAATGGACATTGACGAACACTTTTGTAAGTTGTTTAATATTTATTTATTGTTAAATGAACTTGCGGTAATTTGTTGTTATGGTTAAAATTTCCAATATGGACCATCGATTTAAATGCCCATATTTTTTTGTAGATAGTACTCACAAAAAGAAAGCGTTTTGCAAAGTTTCAATATGCGGAAACGCGTACTTTTTGAGAAAAAAATTATTAAAAATCAATTATTTTTGTAAATTGATTCCTACGGTAAAACTGAAGCTATTTTGTATTGTCATTGTCATTAGGAATGGTCGATTATCATCGATGTTCGATGACCATCGATGTCAAGAATGAAAACATCGATGTTTTGAAAATCGATGTTGCCACATGTCAAACGAAAAATAAAAGGTAATTTGCTAACACATATGAAAATAAACACCGGAGAAAAGCCCTTTTCGTGTAATATCTGCGAATTTAAATGTATTACAAAAAGTGATTTGTAAAGGCATATGAGAATACATACTGGAGAAAAACCTTTTTCATGTAGTATCTGTGAATATAAATGTATCAAAAAAAGATATGTTGCAAACACACACCGGAGAAAAGCCCTTTTCGTGTAATATCTGCGAATATAAATGTATTACAAAAAGTAGTTTGCAAACACATATGAACACACACACTTGAGCAGAACCTTTTTTGTGAGAGATCTGGTAAAATATATGCAATATTATATAAACGTGTTTTATATAAATATAAAAGTATACTAGATAAAAATCCATTTGTCATGAGTTCCTTATGTAACTCTAGAACAAGTAGAAAAACCTTTCCGTGTCATATGTGCTAATTGAAACTGCATTTATTTTGAAGAAGCAAATTCAAACTCCAAAGAAACAACCAAGTGAAATCTAACCTTGAAATATGTACCGAGTGGTTAGTGGAAACAGACCAGACTTCATGTTTTTTTTTTTATTTTATTTAAATCATATTAGTTTATATTTTTATTTATTCGTTTCGATATTTATCGTTACAAAAAAAGTCCGCTGCTCAACATAGGCCTCCCCCACGGACTGACTAATAGGGGGGATATTTGCTATAGTTGCTCTCTAACAAGAACACAATAAACATAGAAACGAAAAAACGAAAAACATTAGCAATCAATTAAATAAAGAATAACATTGTCTGGTCTGTTTCCACTAACCTCCCATTTGTTTCATATTTTAAAGATTTTTTTTGTTTTTGAATTAGCTTCTTCAGAATAAATGCAGTTTCAATTAGCACAATACAAGGGACGGAAAAGTTTTTCTACTCGTTCTATTATTCCGTACAAGATGGCTTTTGTAGTCAAGTTATTAATACATTTCATATTTATACTGTAAAATGTCCAGACTGAATTCGGAGTGAAACTGAAACATTAAACTCCTGCCGTGGCAGCTAACTATAAATTAAAGTGAAAGACATTTACATCACTACTTTTGTTTTTTTTTAATCTTAGGTTTACTTTGATCATATTATAGATTATCTTACTCTAATGGAGGAAATGATTTTGTTATTTATTTTAACGTGTGGACATTGTTTTTATTAGTTTTAACTTGACTTTTACTAAAAAAAACTTTACAGTTTAAGTACTGTTGCAGAGGCTTTGTTTTGTTAGGTGTTATTGTAAATGTATCTTCACGATTGTTTGAACTTTTTGTTAAATTTTATATAGGTCGAAGACTTTTATACCATTAGAGCGGTAATTCAGAATAAAAACCGCGCGGGCGCGGGCGCGTAGGCGGTACGGTAAATATACCACACAGTTATATTATCATTTACGACACATACTGCTTTTAGACAAATACGTTACACGTTGTATGAAATAAACTTCAAATCACATTGACAACGTGCGCACATAAATAATGACAGTATTTACTTAGTCACATTAAACAAAATCAGTGTTAGATTGTCGAAA